ACTCGGTATTGCTTAGCATTAATGAGAAATATCGCTCTTTCAAGACCAATACCGAGCAATACCTAACAAAACCGGGGTATTGCTCAGTATTTCTAGGTATTGGTCTTGACAGAATGGTATTTCTCGTTACCGAGCAATACCTAGCTATACACTGGTCTGCACAAATCAGCTAATACATAGCAATATCGGGTTCCGGTCTGGGCCGGGTCGTCGGGCCACGCGGTAAAGAGTACGAGCACGCGGCAATATTTTATTGGCGTCTTGATGTAGAGCTACGTTAGGTGTCCTAACCTAATAAAAGTTCATTTTTGAGAGGGTTATTTGGCTGCTTTATTTTTCAGACAGCAACTACAATTTTGTTTGGCTATGAGTTTCTTACTAATTTTTCACTGTTTTTTAGAAATTTTTGTTATGGAAAGTTACTTTCTGTAATCATAGTTGCGAAGTTGTTCACCCCACAGTAACTTCACAACCAACTTTATAAGATAATGCAGTTGTCTCAGACATGCGTTATGTATGTTTGCTTTGCTATGCTTTCCCTCTCATCTGATATTGCATCATTACAAACTTCTTGTTGCATGCATCAGTGTTATGCTAGTCATATTTCCTGCAAACCCTATACCATTTATATGTCCTACTACTCGCCTGCAACTTCAGTCGCAAGCTCGAATCCCGCTCATCTACCCAAGACACAAGCTCCTGTTTCGTGTAGGGTATCTTGATTCACCATGATCTATCTTAACTTTTTGATTCTCTAGTTCTCTCTAAGGCTTCGTTTGTGTTGCGTCCAGGAGTATTTGCGGCGGTAGAGAAATATAAAGTTTATCGTCTTAGCGTTATACGAAAATCCGGCACGCAATCAGATAAGTAGAGAGGGTCTAACATTTATGAGACACCAAAATTTTTACGTGGAAAACCCCTGAAAAGGGGAAAAAGCCACGGGGCCTAACCCAGTTTGAATGAAAAAACTAGTATTGCAGTTGATTACAAATGAGGCCCTTCCTTGGTGGAAGGTCTTAGCTTGATGTACATCTTATGGAGTACACTACATGATGTAAATACAAAGAATCACTATCGACATGTTTGTTTGGTCGGGAGGACCGTAGTCGGCAGGTGACGGAGGTCGGAAAGCTTGTAGTCGGTGAGCGACGTAAGTCAGTAGGACCTTAGTCGGCTGGCGACGGAAGTCGGAAGGACTGTAGTCGGCGGGCAACGTAAGTCAGAAGGACCGTAGTCGGTTGGCGACGAAGGTCGGAAGGATTGTATTCGGTGGGCGACATAAGTCAGGAGGACTGTAGTCGGTTGGCGACGGAGGTCAGAAGAACTGTTGTCTGACGACGAAGATTAGAAGGACGACGTTGGATAGATGTCCAATAATGGAAGGAACTCCATCTTCGCGTAGACGTCTAGCGTAGTCCTATAACCGGTAGAAGTCTGGCGTCGGGTAGAAACATGGCGAAGAGTGAATGTGCGACGGCGGGTAGAAATCCGACGTCTGTTGGTGCCAGAGGAGAACTCCGGCCTCACTTGGGCAGAGTTTCAACGTCATGAGGGAACTCTGTCATTAATTGAGAAGAATTCCTACATCCCGTGGAAGTTGGGAAGAATTCTGGCGTTTTCCCAAATATCTGGCAGAGTTCCGGCGTCTTCAGGCGGCAGGAAGAGCTCCGGCGGTGATCGAGGAGGTGCGGATTCTCCTTTTCCCCTTTCTCCTCTTCTTCTTCTCTCTCTTCACTTGAGTCCCTTTGGTGTAGAATGAGGGCTCTATTAAAAATGATCTATCTTAACTTTTTGATTCTCTAATTCTCTCTAAGGCTTCGTTTGTGATAGTTTTTCTATTGTTTTATATTTCATATCACAATCATAATTTCTATTTGACCATTATTTTTATCTTTGTTTCAATAAATTTTTATATTAAAAGCTATTTTTGCAACAATTTTAAAATATCACTTTATCTGTAAAAGCTTTACAAAACATAAAAAATTAATGATTCTCATGATAAACTCATTCATAAAAATGTGCCTTTCTTGGCTAGAAAAGACCCCATTAAGCTTTCTAAACTGCAAGCATCTGACTATTAATTCTCTTGTAACATGGATGCTCAATAGCCTCTAATTTTTTATTAGCTCAACTATCATATTTTACAAGATGGCAACATTAATGTGGGATTTTTTTTTTTTTTTTTTTTCATTTTTTTTTTGCTTCACATAGTTCCAAGAAAATAATATCAATTTATATCTATGATTGAGCTTGCCATCAAGATCGAAGTCAGGATAGAAAGTCCACAAATCCACCACGAAACTCCACCCATGAAGCATTCTCAAGCAGCGAAAAAATAGCGGCCAAAAGTTATTCCAAGCGATACCTAAATCACTTACAACCAATGTTGTTTCTCACTATTTTTCCGCCATTAAATTGTTTCATCCTATTTTGAGTCTACAGTAGCTTTTTTTTTTAATAAATGTTGCAACATTTACTCCCACTTAAAGAGACAAACTTCTTGTTGTTATTGTTGTTGCTGCTGCAATAATTTAACCCTCTGGCGAAGTAGGGTGTTAACATCATGAATATTAGAAGCCTGAGGATCATATGAAATAATAGGTAAATCAAATGAGGTGAGTGGTGAAGTATTATAAGAAAATTTGATACAAGGTAAAATTTTTACCACTTATAATGGAGTATTCATGTAGAATCTATGCAAATGCAATAAAACTAGATTAGTAACTTATGTTTGGACATTTGACTCCAATTGGTAGGAGATATTATGGTTCAAAGTTATGCCAATTAAGTGAAATAATTTTGCCTAAAGGAACTATTGAAGATAGGGTTTCAGTGCCAATTAAGCCAAATAATTCTGCCAAGAATCTCTATACCATCACCCCTTCAGCTCAAAAGAAAGCTTTGCAACACCTTTATTCACATAATGGCACCATAAGAGTCCTCTCATTTAAATTTTGAAAAAACGATCAAAATGATCCCTTAACTTTTTATGAATGATCAAAATTATCTGCAACTATAGTAAAGAAACATTTTGGTACCTCAACTTTTTAAAGAGGAACCAAAATAGTTCCACCATGGAATTATTTTGGTTCATTTTTAAGAACTTGAGCGACCAAAATGATCATTTAATATAGTTGAAAATCATTTTAGTCCTTCATAAAGTTTCAAAAGACTATTTTGATTATTTTTCCTTTAAATTTTGTTCGATCAATAAAAACACATAAAAGACTTAGAATCGAAACTTTTAGATGTCTTCATGAATAAATGTGCATTTGCTATATGAACTAACAATCTCAATCTATCATCCATTGGCTTCGATTTACTTGATAAGAAGTGTGTATCATAAAGGGATTAGATTTGAATCGGACATATAATTGATCTAACCCTAAGATTTTAATCCAAATATATAAATTTATAATGAAAAATATTAAGTTTATATAATAATATATCGAATATTCTCATATATTTTAATGTTTCGGATTAAAAAAAACCAACCTACTTTGATTGTTTAACCTGTGGTATGGTAAGTATTTAATCAATGAAGAAGAATAAAGAGAGAGAAATAAAAAAAAAATGGTAAGTATTTAATCTTCCTCACCTTCTCTCTCTCATGATTGTTTAATCAGGATCTCAAATAATAATTAGTCATATTATTGCTTGATTGCTTATGAACCCTGCTGACCAGAGTTAAGAGAGAGAGAGATTCCCCCAACAGTGAAGCAAGAAATATTAGTACTTAGAACATCTCCAGCCGTTCGGCAAACAACCGAATGGAGGCCCTTAAATGTCGCAACCGAACGCCTTTCTCTCCGGCATTTGTTTGTTGATGTTGGCGTCACACTGTTCACCCGCTAAATTTTTATATCTCAACGGGATTTACCCGTGAAATGGAGAATGACGATTACGACGAGGGAAGCCTGCAAATTGGAGTTTGATTGGAGCAGAATTACCGCATTTTAAAGTTTTGTTGTATTTTGACATGAAAAATGGGGTTTTCGGTTGGAGATGCCCTTAGGTTTCATTTTGATATAATTTTTTTAGGCTTCATTTGGTATAGTTTTTTTACTACTTCTTAAAGAAATTTTAGTACAAACTTTTTACTAAAAAATCATTTTAAGAAGCAATAAGAAATCCGTCCCAAACAAAATATTAATGTTTCATAAAATTGATATAGAAAAAGTATTTTTTGAAGCTATGTAGAAAGGTTTTAGTATAATTTTTAAAATAAAAAAGCAAAAAGACAATGCCTAAATAAAAATTATAATTTTATTTTGAAAAATAAAGCAATAAAAAAAGCTGGCTCAAAAAAAAATCTTAGATTCAGTAAACTCTTTGAGAGGTGAAAAAGAGAGGACTAAAATGATATGGAAATTGTAAGAAAAGATATTACGTTTTCCTTCTGCTCCATTAAGACCTTTTACAATAATAAGTTTAAAAAATAAACAAATATTTAAATTACATTTAAAACAATTGAAATTATGTCATTTTAATTTATAGATAAATTTTAAAATAAAAATAACAATACTTATTTTGAAATATATAATAAAACAATAAAATAATTAGATATATACAATCAGTTAAAAAAAAAAATTTGGCACCTCAATTAATTAATATCATCTGATATAAAAATTAAATCACCAAAACATTTTTTTTCAAATTAAAAAACCAGAAGAATATTTGAATGTCTAGATATGATATTCCATCAATGTCAATCCCATTTGAAAGGGGCAAAAAAGATAGGGAAATTATTGGGTTCGGACACCGGACCTGTTCAGAGCCCAATGAAAATGCGGCACATCACCTACTACTCGGTACTGAGCACTACCAAGCAGAACCGAGCTCGGTATTGCTCAATACCGAGCTCAGTACTGCTCGGTATTCAATACTTCACAGTACCGAGCTCAGTACTGTGAATACCAAACGTAAGCTGTGTTAGGTGTCCGAACCCAATAATCTCCCCAAAAGATAATTGTCCATAATGGATGTGGGATTCAATTCAATTGAGTTCACAAGAAACTTTGGAAAGTAGATCATATGAGGAGACCAGTAATTTGCCAAAACCTACAAGCTAGAGCATTAAATAAAAGAGAGTTTTAAGTGTTTATTTAATGGGAGTTTTCAGGAAGGAAAAGATGGGTTCTCAGAAACGCCAAACAGAAAAAATTTCAAAATCAAATCAGGTTTCCTTTGAAGGGGCTTTCCTTGCAGCTTCAGCTGCTGCTTTCTCTGCATCAATTTCAACAACAATGGCATCAATCTCAGATTCCTCGAGCTGGCGAAGACCGTGCTCTTTTGTCATGACAGCAACCTCTATGTTCTTACCCCCACTCTCAACGACCTGAACATCATAATTTCATCTAACTCAGATATAGGTTTTACTCTTAGAGACCTACAATGCTTCATGATGCAGAATGTTGGCCATTAAAAGAGAGTATAATATTAAGTTAAGTGTTGCAGAGATGAGGATGCTTAGGTGGATGAGCAGATTTACTCTTAGAGACAAGATTCGAAATGAGCATATATGTGAAAAGGTTGGAGTAGCTCCAGTGAAAGATAATATTAGCGAGAGTTGTCTTAGATGATTTGATCACATAAAACAGCGGTCTTCCGATGACCCGATTAGGAAAGTGGATGTATTAGATTTGTCTTATGTTAAAAAAATAGAGGTAGACCTAAAAAGAAATGATCATATACATGAAAATGTTGGAGTAGCTCCAGTGAATGATAAGATTAGCAAAAGTCACCTTAGATGATTTGGTCACATAAAACGACAACCTTCTGATGACCCGGTTAGAAAAGTAAATGTATTAGATTTGACTTATGTTAAGAAAAATAGATGAAGAAGTAAAAATACTTGGTTAGAAAATATTAGCAATGACATTATTTTATTAGATTTAAATGAGATTTTGATTCTTATTCAGACACAATGGAGAAAAAAGATTCATGTAGCCAGCCCCACATAATGGGATAAAAACTTGATATTGTTGTAACTCAGATATAGGCTGCCAGAGTTTCAGCAACTTATGATTATGGAAATACAAACAGGACTTGCCCTTATTTTTTCTCGTGATGATACGTAGATGTACTAAATATATGACAACAACAGGAAGAGAAAAGTTACTATCATAATGATGAAGTGATTTTCATCATCATCATCCCGTCTCCAATTAAGATTTGATTTTATCCAAGCATACTCTATTCTAACGAACGCGAATAAGGCTTAGTTTTAACTCTCTTTTTTTTCTTCCCAGTCTTTAAAATCAGTTTTATTTATTCACTGTATGGGCACATTTTTATACTGTGCTCAAACCAGCTTTATTTCAATAGGTGCCACGCGAACTGCTAATAAGCGGATAATTCATCCATTGCTAAGGACAAAAAAAAATCATATGAGCATAAATCAATGATCATTTTGCATGAGAAGATGCTGAAATTCAGATTAAACTACATGTCGAAATAGAAAAACAGTTGGTAGATAAATACATAATTTTTAATAATGGATGTGTTTGAAAAGTTGATAAGAGTCATAAAAGAAAATGCGTTGAGATAGTATTGAAAGGTAATCACTATGTCTACAAATACGTTAATGATGCATAAAAGGGTTTTGAGTGTAGGTTGATGGATAATATTTTGGTTGCTTCTTGTACATTAAATTAATGCGTATACCTAAGAAGAAATCTAAAATTGCAAAGAAGATAATAAAATGAAATGGAGCTCACGTGTGATGTGATCATCAACAGGATTTTCTACAGGACAATTATTTATTTATCTACCTGAAGCCAAATACGACAGATTGCTGCACAAATAGTGAACTCTTCTGACGGGTTCGCAACACAGTTATCATCATGCTTAGTGTCCGATCATGGATCAAGAAGGGAAAGAATAAATTTCTTGAGGAGAGCAAGAAAAGCTATTCTTTCTTTGCTGTTCTTCTTGTCACTCTCTTTTGCCCGCTAGTTTTCTTATACACTTCTCACCGGTTCTAGTTACAAGCAGTCATAAGACTCATAACTTCTCACCCAGAAACTTGTTCAAGAATACTTCTCGATGCCTCATAGTCATACTTTCTCTAGCATCACACCGCCTCCACATATTAGTCTTTAGATGATGTGGCTCAATCTCATGCATATTCTTGATTTTTAAATATTTTTTATCACTTTATTATTTAAGTATTTAATCTTTTTTTTTTCTTTTAAATTGCTAAAAATTAATGTTATTTAACATATTATATTTGCTGATAATTATTACCAAATATAATTCAAATTTGATTGTTAAATGACCTATTTTATGCATATAATATACGCATACATGATATCCAATTTCATGAATGCTCTAGTTTATAAAGGTGCAACTTCGCTTTATGCTTTCTACATTGAAGCAAAAAGAAAAGACATTTTGCATCACATTCTTCTTAACACATTCAAATCACTAGCTCAAACTTAAGCATAAGAGTAGATTGAAGTTTGAGCACAAAAGTAGGCTCAAGCTCGCAAAAGCGACCAATTAATCTAATATGATAGCTCAATTAATGACTTAATTCAATTCTCCTTGGCCTATTGGTTGAAAGCTTAGGCTTTCAACTAAGAGGTCCAAGGTTCGAGTCCATGTGTATGCGTTGTGTGTGTGAGTTTACCTTAAATGGCCTAAATGTCCCAAAAAAAAATGACTTAATTCAATTCAACAATTTAAATTCGATTCAGATTAGTTAAAATAAATAGAAGTTATCATTTAAATACAAAATAAAATAATACTTATAATAGTAAAGATGATTATGACAACATGCATTTACGCATATACATATAAATATATGACTTTATGTCAATTTAGTTTTCTCGAATTTGATATGATAGCTTGATTAATGACTTAATTCAAATTGATAATTTAAATTTGATTCAGATTAATTAAAATAAATAGAAGTCATCATTTAAAATACAAAAAAATAATACTTATAATAGTGAAGATGATTATGATAACATGCATATATGTATATACATATAAATATACAAATTTACATCATTTTAGTTTTCTCGGATTTTGATGAAATATTAGCATATAAGGCAACATTAAATTCGATTTATAATCCAAAGTCAAAATTTCAAAAGTATTATTATATAGCCTAGAATTCGCATTGCCAAAGAAAGAATTTGCTAATAAAAAGAGGCAACTCTCTCACGTTAGTAATTCAAGAAATCTAAGTTTCTCTACAAAGAGTTCTCCTAGGCACCACTTCATGTTTCTTGGTCAGTACATTTTCATCTATAGCAACCCACCCAACAAGCTATAGATAAGCATTCAAGCTAGTATCTACAGCATTCCAATTTCAACCAATATGCGAACAACGGTTTTCCATCTACAACAGTCTGACAGTAACTTTCTATTTCTTTTGCGTAGTAGTTCATTCGAGATTCCATAACAATTTCCAAATGTTTTTTTTTCAAGATAAGTATTTCTCCACCAATTTATGTACAAATTTATATAAATTTTTTATACTGAAGAAGAGAACAAAATTTAATCATAAAATATCTCATTTTCAACTTTCTATCTTACCATTCTAATTTTGAAGATGTTATCGGACTATTAAGATTTTACTCTATGTCAGACTAACGAGTCCTTCAATATGAAATCTCCTCCCAATCGACGAGTCTTTCACCAATGTTAAAAGCCAATTTTTGTCCAATAAGGGTGGAGATATTATATATGAAGGATTCTCCGGTAAAGAAAATGGTGGCAACCGCCATGAAGAAGCCAACATTCAAAAAGTCACAAACTCCAATGCCATGAAAAATTCATATCCAAAATATAGATAATCAAAATGATTAAATGTTGAAGAAATTCCATAGAGAACCAACGACAAATACAAATACAAAATCGCAAAAGCTCTCTTGTATCTATTTTAACCATTTGGACAATAAACCAAAGATAGCCAGTCATTCTCCCAACAAAAGTTTATTCCAAAATAACACTAGAATAAGCTTGATTACTCAAAAAGATAAATTCTCATATGCTCTCATTACAAACAAGAAGCAAACTATTACTTAGATGATAGAATCAAGAGCGTCAAATCATATAACAAGAGACCAAAACGTATTCTCAATTACAATCCATGCCATGAAAATGATAATGTCAAAATTGCATATGGGCACTGCCAAAATTGATTGGAATAAGTTCTATCACTCTCAAAAGATCTAAATATCTGACTTTGTGCTTCAAAAACCTAACCAAGATTGCAACTTATTATTAAAAACTAAACTCACTTGAGAAAAAAAATTGTGTTAAAAATTCATATAATCTTTGCGCTTTTAGCCTTTTAGGATTTGAACTTGGGGAGCATGATTGATAATGAAGAGAAGTGTTTAGGACTCTTACCTTCTTTAAAAAAAATTTCTTAAGGTACATGTTGTTCCTATGACATCCATACTTATCCAAAAAAACTAATTTCACTTTTATTTACGAACAAAATATGAAAAGGCTTACAATGTGAAATTTTACACCTAACAAAACATACTCATGGCTCTTGTCTCGATTAAACCAACAAACTTTCCTAACATTTCACTTCAATCCGCAATGATGTGTAGGGACAATCTAGAGTAAAAAACTTCTCTAGAGCTAGATAGTTTATTTCCTTTATTAATGATCATAAGTGGGACAAACGAATGATGTTGTTGTTGTAATGATCATAATCATTTAACTTGAATTTTCTAAATGAAATAAAAATTCAAAATGGGATTTTCAAAATTTCCAACACAATGATCGACACTCAATTTTAGATTAAAATTCAAGTCCTAAAGATCAACAATGCCAAAGAATACTTTGAATCAATCTTAGGAACTTTTCTCCTATATAAAGGGATCATCCACCAAAGTTGTTGTGTTGACACCCATCAATAAAATGGGATTATCTATAAGGAAAAATATATCCTCTTAGCTGTTAATAGATCACTAATATTCTCTAAAAAAAATTCTAAGTATCCCTGAGGAGAATTTATCTTAACAGCTACATATCTCACTAGTAGAATGCCCTTAAAATTATTTAAATTCAAATCATGATCAAGAACTTCTCTATTTATTTTCCAAAACCAACATCATTTCCTCTGTTCCTCCAAAACACTTTTGGGTGTTCAATTTTCATTCACATTTATTTTCAGCATAAGATCAAATTAGACCCTAAAATTACCAATGCTAACTTTAGTGGACACTCCCCAAATCAAAAGCGAACAAATGACATTATCCAGTCATTAAAAAAATTTACAATTCCTTAGATGTTTTCTTACTTGAACACTAAACGTACAACTAAAATCCAAAAAATTGAAGTGGAGGAAATACAAGAACAAGAATTCCAATATTGAAACTTATTTGATTATCCATCATCCTTTCTCATCAAACCTGACAAAATTAAATAATAGCTGACTGTATATCATTCCAACATTTAAGTTAAATTTATATAATCCTCGAAAAATTTCAAGGATGAACTACAAAAAATTAGGGATTGAAAATAACTATAGAATTAATTACAATATGATAGCCTATATATGTTTACTTGTACGACCGAGTAGCTCAAAATGATTAGCGAGCTGGCAACAAGGGTCCCATGGATCTGGGAAGTGACAAGGTCAGGGTGGAGGTGGAGGTGGATGTGGAGCAGGTTTTGGATGATGAAATTACGAGGCATTTTTACACTTTACTCAAGCGAATAAATGGATATCATCCACTCCAAACTTGCTTGATAATTTTTAAAAGATTGTCCCTGATAATGCCTTGACAAGATAGCCGCAACTTCTTCACATATGGTTACAAAGAGAGCAGATAGTAGAACACAATCAACCTTCTCCTTTATGAAAAAATCTATAAACTTTAGTATATTTTGCAAGATCATAATGCACAAGATTATATACAATATTGATAGCTGGCTTGTATCATAAAAAAACCTCATAGAACCTTTTCATTCAACATTTAACTCTTCTAAAATATTTTTTATATATACCAATTCAAAGATAGCTAGTTCCATAAATCTAAATTTGACCTCTACGCAAGATCTTGCTATCACATTTTTATTTTTTACTTCTCCAAGACGCCAAATTGCCTCCCAAGGATATGCATTATTTTGAAGTTAACATCTTGCCAACCACAAAACCACATACTTTGCATTTGTATATTCTTCAAGAGTCAAATTATCCTTTTTTTAAAAGAATTTTATTACACAAGGTTCCCTTCAATAGTTGTAAAATTCTATGCACTGTTCTAAAAAAAAATTCTTTAAGATTCTGCATGAATTAACAACGCTAACGACATAGCAAATGTTGAGTCTACCATGAAATAAGTAGAAAAGTTTTCCTAATTCTTTGATAGGAGATTTTTTTTATTCTTACACTAGAAAAGTCTTCCTAATTCTTTGATAGGATATTTTTTTATTATTTTACCTTTTATAACAGCTTTAGATTTATGATTGAATTTCATGGGACTCTCAACAATTGTGCATCCCAACTTATCTGGATCTTTCAACAAGCATGTTATGTTTTTTTCTTATGATATAAAGATTCCATGCTAAGAGAGTGCAATCTCAATGCTAAGTAAATACTTTATCTTACAATTTTATTTTATTTTCACTTTAAATTCTTTAAATAATATTTTCATTAAGCTCACCATTCCTTTCACCCCACTATCTATCGTATAATCATAATAATGTCATCAATATAGCTAGTATTGTTGAGACTCCCATTGAAATAAGATGTTTTATAAATAACAAACAGTCATCTTGACTATATTTGTATCTCATTATGAGCATTACTTTGTTGAATCTCCTAAATCAAGCCATTAGAGATTGCATCACCCGTACAATATTTTTTTAGCTTACATACTTTTTATTAAGTATCTAGATCAAATCTAGATACCTCCATATATATTTCTTCCTCTATGTCATCATGTAAGAAGACATTTTCAACATAAACCATTGTATTTTCAATCCATATTAACTGCTAATGATAAAAAGAACTAGAATAGTAACATTAACAACAATAGCAAAAGTTTCAAAATAATCAATCCCATACATTTGAGTGTAGCCTTTGGCGAACAATCCACCATTGTATATTTTCAGTGAACCATTTGATTTTTTTTACTTTCAAACAAAGATTCATCTACATCCCACAAGTTTCTCTCATTGTGGTAACTTAAATAATTCTCATGTTGTGTTTTCTTGAAGAAATTCAATTTCCTCCTTCCTAGCATTATTCCAATTCTCATTATTTAATGTCTAAGAGATTTTCTTAGGGATAATAGTATGCAAACTAGTAAAAAAAATGGTGATTATAAGAAATATTTTTGTACCATAAAATAAAAGTATATGGTTTTTAGTGGAAGTTCACGCACTTTTGTTATCAACTCTCCTTTTAATTGCAGTTTCAGTAGTTCCTTTCGCTGATTCAATGAAAGTGATTGATTCAGTTGATTAAAATTGCGTAGATTGAGGAATTGATGTATTTCTGCTTATGTAAACCTGTGGTGACCAAGTAGAAAGTGACATAGGTATAGGCTTGATTTGTGTGGCTGTTGATTATTGGATAAAGTTGCTTGCTGGGATGAGTAGCAAGAAAGGGCAATCCATAAGAATGATATTTCTTCATGAGAGAAAGTAATAATAAATTAGAGTTCTGCATTGAAAGCAATCTCAAAGAACGCAAATACCTTTCTCATGGGGAATGGTAGCATTTTTAACCATTTGTGTGGCAGAATAGATCTCGCTACCTTATATTCAACAGGTGCTACTCTCACAACTAAGAAATAAAATCATTTCTCACTCTATTCTTCATGATCATGCCACATATCTATCTTAATAGTGCATTATTGAACTATTTATAGGAGGCAACAATGACTTCTTCTATGCATATCTTCAATAAGATTTCTACATATTGGAATTTCGCAATTATCCAGAGACAACAATTTTATACTCTCTATTCCCTAAGTACAACAATGTGGTGGTGTTTAATATACTGCAAGTTTTACATGCACTTCGCTTGCAAAGAAAAGCAAAGCACCATGCATGAATGCACTTTCCATAAAGCTTCTGGCGTGTAAAAAACAATTAAAAACTACTAATACTACCACAACTACAACTAATCCCAAGCAGCGCCATTTTTCTCCATTCACTAGATAATATTTCTATATATTAGCAACCACTATAATCCTGAGAATACAAGAATGTACTCATCATAATAAGCAGAACAGTTAAGTGATGTTCAAGATTATATAAGTTTCAAACTCATACCTTGGAAACAAAGTGCAGACAAAATAGATAAATGATGCGCCAATAAAGATACTACTTGGTAAACAATAACAGCAACTAACCTCAAGCAGTGCCCGGATAGCCAGTTTTACTGTCTCCTGGCCTGACGTCTCCTTGAAGTTCTTCTCAAGGAATTCCCTCATAGAATTGGAATTCCTCCCAGTCGCATTGGCCTTCCAAGCAGAAAAAGTCCCCGAAGGGTCAGTCTGGTACAGAGCAGGCTCGCCTGTGTAAGGATCGAAGCCCACAATAAGAGTGGAGAGGCCAAACGGCCTGACACCGCCGCTCTGAGTATACTTCTGCTGCAGACCCGCGATATAGCGAGTTATGTATTCAACCGTTACAGGATCCTCGAGCGTGAGACGGTGGCTCTGACACTCAATCCGCGCACGATTGATAAGGACGCGAGCGTCGGCTTTGAGACCGGCGCAGGCTAGGGCGATGTGGGTGTCGAGACTCGCGATCTTCTTCATAGTCCTGAGAAAGCAAGTGATCGAAAATGACGGTTAGGGTTTTGGGAGAAGAGAGGAAGGGGAAAGCTCTTGGAATGAGAGAGAATGTTTTCGAACCTGGAGTCCTGCAGTTTGGGTGTAGCTTTCTTCTCGACTCCAAGGACGATCGTGTCGGTACCGCGAACGCCGACGGCAGCATTTCCCTTTCGAACGGCCTCGAGGGCGTACTCCACCTGGAACAGGTGACCATCCGGCGAGAAGACGGTGATCGCTCGGTCGTAGCGGGCCATCTCGTTGTGTCGAAGCTTTCCCCGATCGACGAATTCGGTGGATCTTGTATTTTATGCCTACAGAGAGAAAACTTCTTGCTCGTCGGCCCTCTGAACTTCGGCTTGGCCTATGATTCCTATTTTTCATTTAAAATTAAAATAAAATTTACATGAATACCACATAGTTTCATATGAAAAGAAAGAAATAATTGTATATTTAGATTTTAGATAAATGACAATATTATCATTGAAAAAATCAGATTTATTATTAAATTTAAAAAAGTACAAGATGGAATTACAATCGAGACTTATTGCTCTATTAGATTCTTAGTAGCAATCAGCGACCTTCTCAACCTAGTTGTTCACGTGCTTTGCTTGGTTTGTGCAGCTAACACTATTATAGAAAATAGAAAGGTCTGCCTGCTTTAATAGCTTATGCTGCTTGGCCCATCATTCCCGTGTGGCCGCCTATTCTTAGGTTCAAGCTCGACTGTCTTAGCACGTCATGCTTGATTCGCAGGGACCTAACTCTTTCCTAATTCCTATGTTCTTTGCTCCGCACCTTTATTGCGCACTGGATATTGTTGTACTTTACTTAATGAGGATCCTCTTATCTTTGCTCATTTGTTTTTTATGGTATGATTTATTGAATGGTCTTTTGGTGTAATGTTGATGGTTTTTCTTGGTTCAATTAAGATGCTCATACATGTGAAACAAATTGGGCCTATGATGTTGATGGAATGATGGATTAGTTGTTCTATTCACCCACGTTTGCAACGTTATGTTGATGGGAAGCTTGATTTCTTATTTCATTGGTTGATTTGGGCCAATTGGATACCTTGATCTTCCGAAGCACGTCAAAGCTTAGGTCCCTTAGTATTATGTATAGCGCAACAACCTCAAAGTTTATTTTATCATTCAGATTGATGAAGGCTTGACTGAAAGAAGAGGTAGCACACGGATTCGTTTTCCTATTTCATGTCCTAAGGTGTGTGCTTCAATATTGTCTTGATTCGTAGTCGCTCTTCAGTATTTAGAATCTTCAGATATATTGATCATTTAAGAATGTTTTGGTGGTGGCTCCCTCCCCTTTTTTTTACACTATATTTGCCCCTTCTTATTTTTGTTCTCAAGGTTATTTTACACCCCATTACTTTGTATTCACTTCAATAGAAGAACTTATTTTTCTATTTCTTGTCCCAATTGCACGTTTTTTTAGGTCTTAAATTATATATTCTATGTAATCTTTTAAACAATTAATGAATGTTGGGGGTGGCCCTTAATTTCTCCCCCAAAAATATAATTTATAGTATTTAAATATTAATATTTATTTATATGATATTTTAGTATCTCAATCATACATAAATATATACATAAAAATATAATCTTTCAGAAGGGAAACAAAACTACTCTCCACTTCTATTGTATGTTGTCCCCCATTTCTGCTGGGCCTGCGGACTGAAGAGCAGTCGCTTTTCTTCCTTTTCTTCTTTGGCTCACTACCCACCATCACAAAATGCAAAGTCATTCTAATTTCCTGTATATGTTTAACCAGCAACTTTGCCCATTAGGGCATCTCCAACCGCAAAACTCATTTTTCACTCTTAAATGCAATAAAACTCCAAAATACAGTTATTCATCTCCAATAGAATTCCATTTTTTTTCTCCTCTTTCACGTGCTTCTTCACCTCGCTGCGAAGGTAACCATCTTTCTCCTCTTTCGCGTGCTTATTCGGCAAATCCCATTACACTTTTTTAGCGTATGTGAACAGTGCAACTCCCATATTGGCTTCGCACTGTTCACCTATCAAATTTGACGTGTGATTTTGCGTTCAAATGGAGCGAATGACGGACATCATACCATCATATGCAGTTCAGTTGGAGATAATTTTAATCAGACAACTGACATATGACTCAATAAATCTAAGTTAGCAGTCACCCGCTTGTTTGATGGTTGGCTTTGTCTACTTCTAAATTTTTTTCAGTATTTAATTAATCAAATTTGACGTGTGATTTTGCGTTCAAATGGAGCGAATGACGGACATCATACCATCATATGCAGTTCAGTTGGAGATAATTTTAATCAAACAACTGACATATGACTCAATAAATCTAAGTTAGCAGTCACCCGCTTGTTTGATGGTTGGCTTTGTCTACTTCTAAATTTTTTTCAGTATTTAATTATGATACGCCATGTAAAAATTACCTTGATCGGACGCGAATCTCGAGAGAAAAAGCTAGTTGGAAACTTCAAAATTTAATTTCGGGAGCATCCGAACTCCGATTTCAGCGGGCTTACAGTCAAACTGAGCGTCTCGGAAATACGAACCCAACGACACCAAGATCGACCCAATCCGAGCTCAAATGAGTCCGAATCAAGGGTTCAAAGCACTGTCGGAAGGTTTAAATCGCAATTTGAGTTACCAAGCAGTCTCCAATTTTGACGAGCTTATAGTCGAATTGAACGGCTCGACGAGACAAATCCAACGAACTCAAGATCGCCGAATTCTGGCATCATTAAGACCTTCAAATATCTGACGAACGGTGCACGATCAAGGATTCAATATCAACCGTCCATTCGACCACTCCCTATTTGCCTCTGATATCACACCTATTTACAAGCTATATATGCCACTCCATAAAATCTATAAATAGATCATTCAATATTTCTCATGAGAGGGGACCTCAAGCAAGAAGAAGAGAAGAAGAAGAGAAGAGAGAAGAGAAGGATATGAGGGAATAACTCCTCCTCGACCACCGTCAGAGTTCTGCCCAACGCCCGAGTGACGTTGGAATTTCGTCGTAAGCCCGAGTGACGCCGGAATTCTGCCCAAGCGACGTCAAAATTTTGCCCGACGCCAAAATAACGCGAGTGACGCCAGAATTCTTCCCAAGTGATGCTGGAATTCTGTCTGACGCCAAAGTAATGCTAAAATTCTGCCCGACGCCCAAGTGACACCGGAACTTTGACTGATTTCCAATTAACGTTGGAATTCTAAGCAATTTTGAATTCAACTCGAATACTCAACTTATTTGTAATTGGATTTCAATCCGGAGGTGAAGCTTTGTAAAATGATCGTCCTAAATTTTAAAGACGAGTCGGCCTCTTATATTTCAAGCAAAGTAGCAAACACTAGTGGAACTCTTTCAACTAGGTGTGGCCCCGTGGTTTTTCCCCTTTCAGGACTTTCCACGTAAAAATCCTGGTGTTAATATTTCTCCTCTGTTTGTGTACTAAATATATGTACAATGCTGAGATGGAAGTTTTTGAACTCTATCGCCGCGTATATTCTAGTCCGCAATAATAATATATCAAAAATTATACAATAAAAGTTTATAAAATCATGATATAATGTATTTTTTATTAGATTTAAGAAAGATAAATTTATAGAAATCAAATTCATCGAAAATAGAAATAAGAATATAGCTACTTACAATGAATTAAGGAGAGATAAATGCATAGAAATTAAAATGATTGAAAATAGAAGTAAGAAGACAGTTACTTACTAGGAATAAAATAAAATACATAACAAGAACAACAAGCAAATATGACCTAAAGACCTTTATCTCTCCTTTCTCTTCTTCTCCTCTTTCAATTTCTTCCTGGTCAAGTAACCAAGTGAGTGAAGCAGTTCGGTGAGGCATGGATATTTATAATAAAATATATATATTAATATTTTTAGTGGCCAAACACCACAATGTTTTAATTCATAAGTTCCATGTTTTTCAAATAAATAAATTCATTTCACATTTTTTAGGCTATTATATGGGTTGGTAGACTTTCCTTTGAATAATAGGTTTGTAATGTGATTCTAATACAAACAAGATTGGAGTTATATGTGAACAAAATATATAAACATATGGGAATGACGATTCTTAAAAGAATCCACCTGACAATTATAATAATATGATATGATTTAATAATATATGATAAGACACAAGAAAATGACATATGATTAGTCAAATTTACTGACTTGTACTATGATGAATATGATATTATATGCATACATGATATAACCCCACATGATTATACATGATATATATAAACATGCATAAGTTATACAATATATGAACATGATAAAAAATGATATTGATACTAATACGAATACATGATACACATGACATTATACTAGTAGAATATAGACAACTCATACAAAAATATAGAGTGTATAATACACAATGCTCAACACTACCAAATGCTACATGATATTAATACATAATATACTTGCTTTAGCATAAGTTGGCATAACATGCATATTAATAGATATATTGATAAACATTAACATGATATGAAATAAAAATGATACTTCATCGATTTATTGATTGATATGATAGTTTTTTTAGCCCTTTTCATGATCCTCTAAGATAGGACTAAATCAATGATCATTGATTCGTCATAATGATGATTGTTATAATCCATATTGCTCACTAATCATTGATTTTTTTTATTGATATGATCATGTTTACATAATTTGATAAGATACATTATACTAACATTATTTGAATAGTTACATACATATTATTATATTTATCTTGCATTAGCTTTGTTATAAATTTTGGTGATCTATTAGGCTTATGTTTATTACGTGGTTTTTACATTATTTTAGAAAAGTGTAATGATCCAGTGGACTGAGGCTGATCAAATTATAGAGATAGGTATCACTTCTATTTTTTGTTTATTTTTTGAATTCATGAATGTAATTAAGATAAATTGATTAGAAAGATAAATTCATGACTATTATATATGATTTTTGGGAATGAAATGAGTGGTACATGTTTAAGATGAAATGAATCAAAAGATTTCTTCTGCTATGTTTATTACATGTATATTGATGATTATTAGTGGCTATGGTAGATTATTATAAGATATAAATAAGCAATTCTTTCAAATAAAATCTCAAGGCATGATATTAATTAGTATAGTTATGATGGTAGGATTGAAATTAGAAATAAGGTTGTGTATTTTAGTTTCTCCCTTTTATTTTTATAAATATGGGGTCTCTTGTAATGCGAAGCATTTAATTTTAGGAATGAAAAATGCTTCATTAGTTATTTTACTATGAGTGTGTGCTTCTTCTCTCAAATAAATGACTATTTAAATGTGTGAGTTTACAAACATCAAAGAATTCTACTTAAAAGACATG